GAGGGGAGCCTCAGGCACGCAGGACTGCTGGGGTAGATCCAAGATTCCTTAAGGAGGTGCCCCAGGCTTTCACCCTTGTTCAACATTTTTTGTTAACCAAACGTTTATTCCTGGGGCTCCCTCACCTCTGTCCAGTAAGGGCAACCTGAACCTCAATTTTCTCAGCTGTAAAATGGGTAGCCTTACAACAGCAGTCGGTGAACACTTCAGGTTTTGAATGTTTCTCAGTATTTAAAATCAACAACGAGTTTAAAATCTTTTAAAAGTTTTAGGTGGATAATTTCGAGGGTGATGTCAGAAAACCATAATCAGCTAGTTTGGGTTTTAATTTTTGTTTTAATACATGGTGCTTCTGATGATTTTAATGTGATGATGATGATTAAAAACCCAAATCCCTTTAATGGCCTTCATGGCTTGTCAGGTACCTGTGAGGTACATGGCTGAAGTCGTGTTAGTTGGGGTGGGTTTCGAGTGAGTCTATGAGTCTTTGGAGAGAACGGATTGCCTTTGAGTGAGCCTCGCGCCCCCCCCATCCCCCATCCCCCCGCCCCACCCTTCCTCTTCCCCACACAGCACTGTGCAGTGAGCTTACCCTGGTATTTTGCTCATCTTTTTATAAATGTTGTGCAAAGGAGTCAGAAATCTCTCTTCAAATACTGCCTAGAAATTAAAGTTTTTAATCAAATTAAATAATATTTAAATGAATTGAAATTTAAAATATACTCTCCCCATCCATGAAATTATTGTTTCTCCTGGTGAGCATTTTGGAGCTCCTCACTGAGCTCCAGCTGGAGTTGTTCCTTACCCCATGTGGCACTAAGGTGGCCGCCAGGGCTCCTGTACTGGGAGACAGGCATGCCTGGTCCAGGGATCCAATTTCAGAATAGATAATTTGTTTTTTAAATCCTCTAATCAATAAGAATTCATAAGAAATCAAATATTCAGAATTACGTTTGAAGCCATTTTTTGTCATGCATTTTAAAAATCAAGGTACATTTTACATACAATAAAATATGCCCATTTTCAGTATAGAGTTCAATGAATCTTGACAAATGCATAGAGAACGGCTCAATCAACCTCCAAAATTCCTTCATGCTCACCCCAGTCATTCTCCCCCAAGACAACAACTAGTTTGATTTCCTTCACTACAGATTATTTTTCCTGGCTTAGAATTTCATCCAAATGGAATAATTACAGTATTTTTATTTTGTGCCTGGCTTCTTTCACTCAACCTTGTGCTTATGAACAAGTAGTTTGTCCCTTTCATTTGCTAAGTAGTATTCCATGATCCCATTGTTGTGTTTCTTTGTCAATTCTTACGTTGTTGGACTCCTGGGATGTTTCCAGTTTTTTTGCTATCATGAAGAAAGCTAATGTGAACATTTGAGCACAAGTTTTTTGTGTGGACATATTGCGGTAGCATGCTGTGGCTGGCTCACCAGAGTCAATTTTGCAAATCTCTTCTCAACTCTGGTTCTCTGACGTCATATTGGTACACAGTTTGAAATAAGCCATGATGGGAGTATTTACACCATAGTTGACAATCGCTACAAATTAGAGCTTTTTCCCCCGGAGAGCTGGTTGGTAAACATTTATCAGCACACCATTGGACATACGTTTTCTTTCTTTCTTTTTTTTTTTTGGAGCAAATACCTAGGAGTGAGATTGCTGGATTGCATGGTATGTCTGTTTTACTTTATATGAAGCTGCCAAACTGTTTTCAAAGTGGTGTAACATTTTACACTCCCAATAGCAACATATGAAAGTTCCAGTTGCTCCACATTCTCATGAATACGTGGTATTGTCAGTCTTTTTAATTTTAGCCATTTAAAGAAGATCTGAATAGAAGAGGGGTGATGGGAAATGGAGGTTATATGGAAGCCCAGTAAGCTGTACATTTGTCTCTCTCCTTATAGACAGAGAAAGTCCTCAGTAAATACAAGTTGAAGCATGTTGAGATCCCCTCACATAATGCCCTTTCCCTGATCTTTCCCATTTCATTGCAGAGGAATGCTGAGGCTCCTAATGGGAGAAGGTAGTCACTTCAAGCACAACAGGCCGCGTTCATACTGTTGGGGAATAATTAAAAATAAAATCTTGTGCCAACCCAGTGAATTCGCTCAACAAAGGTAGAAAAGAACGAAATAGTTTTATTGTCGAATAAGCATTAAACCAGCTCGTGATGTGCATCACAAGCAATTCACTGAACAGATTTCAGAGAAGGAAAGAAACCTCATCCTTTTATATAGCCAGGCAGATACAACCCATTGCATACATGTTCTTAAGACAGATGATAACTTGCCCTCAAGAGAACTTGACAGCACCATTTACTACACACAGGTCATCTCAAATTCCCTGGTAATCGCTGTAGCCATCTGCCTTTAGGCAAAGGAAGAATAAAACACATATCTCTTTGACAAGCAGGTGACGACTTGGAACCAGCCTCCTAGGTCAAATTCCTAGGGCCGTGGAGATAGGACGCTATCTCTGCTGACGTTTACATTTCAAAGAGATGGCTCCCAGGCCCTCAAGAACAACATTCCTGAGTTGTAAAACTGGCAAGAGGCCTATTTAGCTTTTTTTAAGGAGTTACATATATCTTGAAGGTACGGAGAAAAAATTTACACGTTTTCTGAAGGAAATACTCCAAGAAAAGGGAGGATGGAAAGTCTCTTTCACTTGTGACACCAGGAAAAATTCAACTTTTAAAAACTTTGTGTCTACCCTACGATACTTCCACCCTCTTCCCTGCGTTATGCCCTACTCCAGGTCCACAATTTCCCCTGACCTTCTACTATTAGTCTTTCAAAATCCTTATCAACTCCATTCCTAAAGGAAGCCTCCCCAAACAGCAGGCGGCTACTCCTAGAGCCACAGCCACGGCCACACTAGAGACTCGCTGTTATCAAAGGCTATGACTACAGTCTCTTAGAATTGGAAAACTTTGCAGATATTTGGTCTGATTCTAACCCATTTCAAAGACGGTAAAACTGAGACATAGGAAAATCCCAAATGGGTACTTAGGGCGCTGGGTCACACTGGAGCAAAAAGGACGCTTAAGGATCCTCCTCCCAAATTCGGTGATCCCTAAAGTCAGCCCCAGGTGACCAAAAAAACAAAACAAAACACCCTGCTTGATTCCACTACGGCACGATTGGGGTTAAAGCCCATGGAACGCAGGTCTCCTCCCGACTGCGCCTGCGCGAGTCAGGACATGCGAATTTGCCCTGGACCCTGACGTTTCAGGCAGCCCCTCCTAATGCGGAACACGACCCACATTCCGCCGGTCCTGCCTTGACAGGCGTGACCCTAATCCAATAAGAATGGAGGGCTGAGTCCTCCGGAGCCAATAGCCAAAGTCCGAGGGGCGGTGGAGGCGGACTCTGTAAGGAAACAAGAAGACAGGCCCAAGATGGAGGCGGCGGCGGCGGTAGCGGCGTGACAGGTGAGGGCAGGCCCGGCAGGGTTAGGTTTCTGGAGCGACTGCTGGGCTCGGGTAGGGAGCCGGGACCGAAAGCTCAGCTCCAGGATGGCTGCGCCTGGGCCCCGATGCCCCCCGCCCGGAACCGGAGGAGTGGTTTGACCCGGGGTGAGACCATCTTCGACAACGCGGGGGGGGGGGGGGGCTGGAGTAGGG